CACCACCCCCTGCATTTGTGTCTATATACTGTATAGATTTTGAGTTAGCACTACATTGATATAAGTTATATATAAAGGGATTTGTATATTTTTGATCGGAAAATTTTAAGAAATGGCGTCATCGACGGTATCGTCATGGGTAATGGGTTCAACATGCATGTCAGTCGTTGAAAGAGAACATGATAAACATTCTTTGTTTGGGATTTCTTCTAAGTCTAAATGCAAATGGGCTTCTCAAACTCGCACCAGGGTTTTGCCCAAGTCCACATCCACTGCTCAAACAGGTAACTTTATTAATTTTTAGAATTGGATTTTACAGAAATGGAAAGTCATGCATTTGCTAATATTTTTTTTTTTGAGTGAGAGCCTATTTGAAGGGCTGCATGGTAAGATTCTTATAGCAGTGTGATTTTATGTTTATTAAATTGGGTTTATTGTAGTCTCGAATTTGCCACCTCATGTTGGCATTGTGTGTCATGTGAAATGAGTGTGAATTTCTGGAATAGATCATGCAATTTGCTTGTAGCTTGATTTTATGGTAATTTCTTTTTTAGTATTAGAGACTGAAAAGAGTTGTGTCTACGCTTGTACGTGTTGTCTGCTACAAGTTTAAGAGTTGTTATTATGGGTTTTGGATTTTTGAACAACGACTTCAAGTGCTAATAACTTGGTTCTGAATTTAATATTTGTACATATTTAATGAATTTCTTAATACAAATACATTGTCCGAGCAGAAGTTACAGAAGTTACAGGGTTCGGCCAAACCCGTATGTAGGCTTCTAGCTCCACCCCTGATTGGCTGGACGTAAAGGAATTCATTTCCCCCCTTTTTAGTAGAAATATTTTTTTCTTTGAGAATATTTTTGCGGTGAGCAAATGTTAGTAAATGATTTGATCATGGAAATGTTGTGGAAAATATTTTCCTGTGATGCCAAACACTCCTGCGTCAATGTACATGATTGGGTTTTCTTTGAAGTGATCACACAGAACTATAGAGATCTTCAACATCATTTTCTAATACGGTTTCCCTTTAAGCTATCAACTTTCCTACATTGATTTTGACGTGCTTGGCCGCTCCTTGTATTAGGGGAGGTAATGGCAATTGCTGCCCAACCGGCCATGGAAGTTGCACTAAAGAAGAAACCTCTGACCAAGGAAAGGCGAGTTGTTGTGACAGGGATGGGAGTTGAAACGCCGCTTGGTCATGATCCCCATGAATTTTATGAAAATCTGCTTCAAGGTGTCAGTGGCATAAGTGAGATAGAAGCTTTTGACTGTTCACAGTATCCAACAGTATGTCTTCTTCTTGGGCCTGTTTTATCCAACTTTAGTTATTTAAATGTTTTTAATGAGGTCCAAATTCGCAGAGAATTGCTGGAGAGATCAAGTCTTTCTCCACTGATGGCTGGGTTGCACCCAAACTTTCTAAAAGAATGGACAAGTTCATGCTTTACATGCTTACGGCTGGTAAGAAAGCACTGTCAGATGGTGGAATTACTGAAGACATTATGGATGAATTGGATAAAAGAAGATGTGGAGTTTTAATTGGCTCTGCTTTGGGTGGAATGAAGGTGATCAACTTCTTCTTTATTCCTTCAATCGTAATTGTGATGAAAATTTCACTGGTTAAATGTGTCAAAAAAATTTCTTTTCCATTTTCATTTTTTGTTTATATGCTTTTGGGATCAGCTCTATTTGGTTGCTAACATATCATATACGGAATCAACAACCTGTACATGATTGCCCATGTATTGCAATCTCCTACTAAGCAGACCAGTATGAAGGCTCTAGAGTCTTTGCTAGAACCAAAGTAAGTGACTACTCTCTAACTGACTTGCTTTGTTTGTGCAGGTTTTTAATGATGCAATAGAGGCTTTGAGGGTTTCGTATAGGAAGATGAATCCTTTTTGTGTTCCATTTGCAACTACAAACATGGGTTCTGCCATGCTTGCCATGGACCTGGTTAGCCATTAAGATTCAGTTACTATCTGTGATTTATGATTTAAAAAATCCCAGCTTTGTGCATTTGTTTACAAACTCGATTGCAGGGATGGATGGGTCCAAATTATTCAATTTCAACAGCATGTGCTACAAGCAACTTCTGCATATTGAATGCTGCTAATCACATCATTAGAGATGAAGCTGTAAGTTTCGTGCCTTTAAGGTCATAGAAAGCTTTCGGAAGCAGAGGATTCAGTATCATCTTACTGTTGTTCATAGAGTTCCCTATGTATTGACAGATGTGTCCCAAGGATTAACATGCTTAGTAGCTTAGAGGGTGTTTGGCTAAGCTTACAAGTTGGTCAAACTGGCTTATAAGCACTTTTTGGCTTATCTACGCGTTTGGTAAATATCCAAAATGCTTATAAGCCAAGTGCTTATAAGCTAAAATCAACTATAAGTCATAAGTTGGTCACCCCCAACTTATGGCTTTTTAGCTTATAAGCACTTTTTGGCTTATCTACGCGTTTGGTAAATATCCAAAATGCTTATAAGCCAAGTGCTTATAAGCTAAAATCAACTATAAGTCATAAGTTGGTCACCCCCAACTTATGGCTTTTTAGCTTATAAGCACTTTTAGTTTGACCAAGACTTTTACTAGTTTATCCTTTATAATATTTTCTAATTCACAAAATATTTTTCCCAAAATAAATTTTTTAACTTTCTTTTCATTCTATATTCATTGTTCATCTTTTTCTTTACAAAGAAACTTTTTAATTTATAACCTTTTGTAAAGTTTTTAAGGATATTTTAGTAATTTTAATAAAAGAACAACTTATCAGCACTTTTCTACCAAACATATCAACGGCTTATTATCAGTTTCAGCACGTCTATCCAAACACGTAAATGCTTATTTAAAAAATCAGTTTCAGCACTTCAAGCTTATCAGCTATTTACAATCAGCTAATCCAAACGGGCTCTTAGTTCTCTTGTTTTTACACACTGATAATTTGCAGGACTTGATGCTGTGCGGTGGATCAGATGCAGCAATTATACCAATTGGTATATTATATGTTCTTTCTTACTTGAAGTTTGTTTATCAAGCTGAGGTTGTTGATTACCTTGTAATACTTATAGTTTTAAATAGCTTTTGATGTTATTTTTGTTTTCTTTTGCAGGATTGGGAGGATTTGTTGCATGCAGAGCACTTTCACAGCGAAATGGTGACCCTGCAAGAGCTTCTCGGCCTTGGGATAGTGTAATGTCTTGCAAATCTTTTGCTCTTATTCCTCTGCTTTCCCTCTAGTTGTAAACGTCAACTTTTATGTGGCAAGGAGTGGTGATTCTAGAGTACTTACGCTATTCCTATTGCAGTTCTTGGGTTTGTGATCTAATAGGGAATTAGAAATTTCCAGCTTTGTATTTTTCTTTGGTTGACTGAGCTGCCTATCCAAATTGCAGCTTCCATTCCCTGAGATTGAACTTGACGTATGTCATATTTTCTTCAGAATTTATGACCATGTATCCCCTTTGCTTTGGACTCATGTGGACTCAGTGGAAGGAGAGGCATGTGAGAAAAATTTGTAGGAATTGGAAACTCCTGTTTTTATGTTAAGTGGAATATTTATATTTCTGGTATTCGCTTGGAGCAAATATGATATTCCAGTCACTATTCACAGTTGGATGCTCTTTATCATCATGCCTTTTTGCGGGATTCTCTACTTTTTGTATACATCTTATAGGAGCATTCTTCCAATCAAATCAATAAAAATTATATTCCATTATATATTTATTTCCATGTTCTAGCTCGTACATTCTATGTGCGTACGTTGCTGTATTTAAATGACTTGTAAGATGAAGCTATAGCACTACAAAATTTCAACCCTATCGTCCTCTGT